GGGGCGGGGGAAGGAGCCCCGGAGAGTCAGGCCAAGCTGCCACTAATCCGGGCGGGGAGAGGGGGGGCACCCACGTCAGAGCGGGGACTGCCGGGTGGAGGGCATCTGAGGACATCCCCTGAGGGAGAGAAGGCGCCGGGCCGGGGGGAACACGCGCCCCGGGTCGGAGATGGCCGAGTGGGGGGAAAGGCCGAGGGGCCGGGGAAGGGGGTCGTGCCTGGATAGGGGTGCCGATCCTGGGACCCAGGAGAGAGGCACCGGCAAGGGCGCAGTACCGCGCAGCGCGGCTAATGGAGGTAGAGCGCGGCGGAGAGCGCAGCAGGACCTCTGATCGCCATCGCCAGACGCGCAACTGAGAGTGGGGAAGCTGCTCCGCCGGTTTCCTCCTCCAGCACCCTGCGGGAAACAGGAGCCCGTGATTCGGCGGCCGCGCCTGGGCCTGCCCCCTCCCGGGCCCCGGGGGCTTCCGCCAACGCCCCGGCGATGCCACCGGCTGCGCACGGGGAGAATGAGCCCTTTGTTCCCCCTCCCCCCCGCCGCACCCGGGCGCCTGCCGAGAGAGGCTCCCCCGGGGCAGCGTGCCAGCTTCCCAGCCGCCCCACCCTCCCGTGGGCCCGGCCCCGGAGCCTGGCAGGCGGGCGGCACCCCCACTATAGGTGCCAAGCCCGGGAACTGGAGCAAAGGGCGGGAGGGGCCGGACCAGGCCACGGTGGGGCGGGGTGCCCCCCAGGGTGCTAGGGCGGGGTGGCTGGGAGGGGGCAGTGCCAGAGCTGGCAGGGGCAGACGAGTTCTCACGGGTCAGTGATGGGCGCTCTGGCCCACACCAGCCGGGCTGTGCCTGCCGGGCCACTGGCTCCTGGTCATCTCCAGCTCTGGCACATGGCACGCCCCACTGGCCTGTGTCTGCCCTGCCTCATCCTCACCTGGTCAAGCTGCTCTTTGCCATCTTCCACCCCAAACCCTTCCAAACCCCTTCCAGAGCCCAAGGGCACAAAGGGTTGCGGCCTAGGACCTCTGGGAGGGCCTGGGCTCGGGTCTGTCCCTGGTCTAAGGGCCTTGATTTCGCCAAATGTCTGGAGAGGTCATGGGCCCAGATGAGCTCCCACACCGGCTCCAGACCCCGGGCTGTGAGTGTTTGCCCCATCCCCAGGGTTCCTGGTGCTTCCAGGCCAGGGGCTGGAGAGGCGCCCATGGGAGTGGCTCCCGGGAGAGCACAGAGAGGAGGAGAGGAAATGGAAAAGCAGGGCACCCTCCACCCGAGGAAGCATCCCGGCTCCACTGCGGGGGTGGTTCCAGTGCAGACACAAACAGACAGATTCAAACACACACAGACAGATTCAGACTCACACAGAAACCCACACGCCCAACGGGCGCTTCCCTTCCCCTCAGGCACCCACCTCCCACCCTCAGCTACCCTGGCTCCCTTCGGAAGCCATCCTCAGCCTGCCTGAGACAGAAGCTGCACTCCCTCTTTCCCATCCCATGGAAGCCATGGGTTCTGGATGCCTCTAGCTTAGTCCCAAGTCACACCACCATCCCCGCAGAGGGAAGCCCTGAAGAGCCAGAAGCCTTCCTCCTAAGGGATGAGCAAGGCCTAGAGCCTTCTACCAATTGAGAATAGTGGGGGTCCTGGGGAGCAGGGTCCTAAAGGAGCGGGCACTGGGCCGGACTTGTGCTGTGTTGGCATCGATTCACCCTGCCCCTGGCCTCCCCCCAGAGGCCAGTTCTGTGGCAAGGCAGGCTGGTAGGGGTTGTTTACATGACTGAGTAACACTCCCTTCCTCCCCAGCTCCCCTGAGGGTGGCTGGGACCTGAGTGTGCCAGGGGAGATGCTTGTAGAGGGTCTAACATGGACTGGAGGCCCCAGGCTCTGAGGCCCGGCCTCCCACTTCCAGCCTGGCTCCAGGGGTGAAGGTGAGGGACTGGGGTGTGCCTGTGGTCCCCCATCTGTGTCCTCTGGCCTCCCTCCTCAGCAGCCGAAGCTTGTGGGAGCGCCAGGGGGAGATTCCTGCGGCTTGGGGCCTGGAAGAGGCCAAGATGGGAGCCTGCGCTGTTCAGAACCCTGAAAGCCTATGGCTGACATCCCCAAAGGGGTTGGGGACTATCCCAGGGGTGTGGGGCAGATACCCCCCTACCCCACTTGCCATGTCTGCTTTGTCAGGCCACAGTCCCTGGACTAGAGCAGCAGGGCTCTTGGAGACAGGCTGCTGAAAAGCCCAGGGGCTCGTGGGGACTTGCGGGGTGGAAGGAAGGACCTCTTCCCCACCCTCACCCAGCTCCCCATCCCGCTTTGGGGCCCATGCCACAGGCCCACAGAGTCCTTGTAGCCGGCTGTTCTGTGCCTGAAGACAGAGCAGAGCTGAGGAGACACACAAAAGACACAAACACAGAAGGAAAGCCACACGGCGCGTGGACACAATGCCAGACTCGTGGACAAAGGCAAGCTGACCAGCACCCCCAGCCGTTCGTGGACCGAGCCCCAGCCCCTCACCGACCCCTGGCGCACTGACACACACTCGCTCGCTGACATACGCTCGTGCTGACGGGCACAGCAGCACTCACGAGCCGGCGGCCCTCATGCCATCCCCAGAGCCCCTTACCTGGGCAAGCACAGTGCCCCCCGGGCAGAGCAGCCCCCGGCCCAGGGGAGGGCAGCAGGCGGGGGCGGGGGAAGGAGCCCCGGAGAGTCAGGCCAAGCTGCCACTAATCCGGGCGGGGAGAGGGGGGGCACCCACGTCAGAGCGGGGACTGCCGGGTGGAGGGCATCTGAGGACATCCCCTCCCACACACGCGGCCGTCTGGGCACCTAGCCCTGCTTCCCCAGCCCCTCCATCCTTCAGACAGCTGAGGCTGGCCTCCCCCCACCCCACCCCCACCCTGTGGCAATGCCTGGGGGGGATGGGGGAGGGGAAATACCAGGCGAATTCTCCCGGGACCCGTGGGGGTGGGGGCAGGGGGTGGGGAGGAGGGGAAGGGAAGTGTGGAGATGCGTTTGGAACCCGGAGGAAGCTCCGAAGCAGATGCCACCCTCCCCTCTCGCCCACCCACCTACATCCCTGACCTAATTCCTCTTCTCAGTCTGCACCTCCCAGTGCGCTTCCTCCTCCCCCCACCTCCCCTCCCCTCCAGGTTAGCCCCACAAGCTACCCACCCGGGAAGAGGAAGCCAGCTCCACTCTGCCCTGGGCTCGGGACCTTTGTGCCTACCTGGAAACACCAACTGTGGCCCCCAGGATTTCTCCAGCAGCAGAGAATCCTCCTGCCCAGGCATCTGCCCCCTACCCAGCTCTTGAAACCCCTGGTCCCTGATGCTGGGTAGAGGACGGAGCCAGAGCCCGGGTGACACCTCCTTAACCCCCTCAAGGTGGAGGGCAGTGCCAACCAGCCCCGACCCAGCTTGGGCCAGGGCTGTGTCAGAATTAGAGGCTAATCAGTGGCGGCTAAAAACACAGCCAATGCATGCGGCACACATGGAGGCTGGAGACGGGGAAGGGGACCAGGACACAGAGGGCCCCAGGCCAAGAGGGATAGTGATGGGGGCTGAAGAGGCGGAGAGGGAACGGAGCCACCTGGAAGGGCCAAGGGATGGCAGTGGGTGGAGAGGAGAGAGAAGAGAGGGGCAAGAACAAAGGGCCATCTGCACCCAGAAACCGGATGGATATGGAGGAGCCCCTCAAAAGCAGACAAGCTGCAGGGGAGGGGAGGAGTGAGACCAGGGCACGAACCGAGTGGGGCAGGGGCCAGGACCCAGCGGAGGTATGCAGCTCTAAGGGGGCTGGCTGTGGCAGCTTTATGTCCCCACCAGCCCTGATCCTGCTGGTGGTCCACTGTCTGGTGGGGAGGAGAGGGTTGGGGGTGCTTAGGCTGGCTGGCACGCAGCCTACTCTTCCTAGAGAGGCCGGGCCAGAGGAGGTGGAGGGTGAGACAGTAATCTCCTCCAGTGTACAACCATGCTGGGCAAAGGTGAGGTCTCAGGGGTTCTCAGAGAGGCAGGGCTGACTCTCAGGGAAGCCCAGTTGACAACCAGTGCCCTGAGCCTCCGGGTCATATGTGTGCTCACCCAGAAATGCCCCAGAACTTGGACTTCTGGCTCCTTCCTCTCTGTCCCCAGCATGTGTTGGACTTCATACAACTGCAGTCAGCCGTTCCCCAAACCCGTGTTCTAGGGGCCTTGGCATGTTCAAGGCTTGGCGGTAGGCCCCAGGTGACGCAGAGCACAAAGGCAGAAATCACGAGGCCATCCCACCCCCACCCCTACCCCCTGCCCATCCATGGAGGAAAAATTGTCTTCTACAAAGCCTGTCCCTGGTGCCAAAAGGGCCACTGCCCTAGAGAGAATTTCATCCCCAAACCATCCCTATCCCCCCACCTCACCTCCTCCCACCCCATCTCTCACTCCCACCCCCACCCCTACCCCGTGCCCATCCATGGAGGAAAAATTGTCTTCTACAAAGCCTGTCCCTGGTGCCAAAAGGGCCACTGCCCTAGAGAGAATTTCAGGAAATTCCAAGCATTCTAACAGACACAGTAAAAAAAAAAAAAAATGGAACAGTTTCTCTCTACATAGCCAAAATATAAACATTTTTCTTAATTACTTTTTAGGACACATTACAATAAAATGAGCATGACTAATTCAATATAATAATCTACAATG